GGCCTCTCTGTGCAGATCTGCTTGAGCACCATCCTCGTTTTTCGTCAGCTCAAAAGGCAGCCAAAGACCCATTTTGTATTATCATGTCCACGGGCCTATGTGAACTCCTTTAATTATTGGGTACAGAGCCACCACGGCATACGCGTCAGCCTATTTACTGACAATTTTTGTCTTTTTCCCTTATCTTTCTTTTTAGTGTCATATTTATACTCCCCTATATAGTTCCCTCGTTGCGGAATAGCTGTAACGGTTCATGGGCTCTCAGACACAGACAAGTTCAAGGAAAAGAAAACATTTATGTTAAACACGATCCAAGCACAAATACACACACTTTCAGTACATGGCTGAACAGTACAACACGATTAGTTCTCTCTGACCCACAGCCCTTACAGCCCCATAGCCTACGAGTATTTATACTCACTTTGACCTATACGGTGACTCTCGTTCATAGACGTCACTCACGGCGCCGATTACCGGGTAGTCGACGCACTGACTTATCCGGCTTTGGAACGCTCCAAAGCACGATGACTACACGTAATGCCGAGATCACGTCGCGGTCTGTTGTGCCAGATTATGACCTACACGTGGCAACAAGGCCACGTCCTCAGCAGACTCGGCACCATGGACCGACTCAGTAGCTGGTTGGTCTCGGACACCAGCTGTCCAACGATCAGCCTACCGTCCTGGCCCACTAACGTTCACCATACAAATGCGCTGCAAGGCCTGGTCTGGAAGCCACCCGTTCACCGCAGAAAACGCTAGGCTAGTCCAGGCTGGCCCGATGGTTCCAACGTGACCACGCACGCTCTGCCAGTCAACGTTTGAATGCTCTGGTGCGTCACGCTCGTCCTTGTTTGTTTGTTTCCCTGGACTGAAGGCTCATACCCAATCAGGGGGATTGGCCAAGAAAGCGTAGTGCAGTTTTTGTGATAGTTTTAACTATATGTAATGAATTTTTATTATAATATGACTAATGTAAGGAAAACCACATAAAAAGAGAGCAAACGAGAAAAAAATAAAAAAGTCTCGTTGAGAAAATTTGAAATTTCAGGTGTTGTTAGTACCACTCAGCTGCATCTACTTAACTTTGCCATTTACAATTTTTGGGGGGGTGTAATAAATAATAATTATTTGATTGAATATCACAAAGGTACACGTTTGGATGCCAGAATCGCGCACACAGATCGTCGTCTTCGTTTGCGTCAACACTTTCGGTTCACACTTTCAGTTTCGGTTTTGGTTAACACAGTAACAAACCGGCCACCTGCCTGATTAACCTCCCTGCTTTCATGTGATAATTCTTGGTGTTTCGGGAATACGTGACGCACAGCTGCTTCGTGTATGCGCAAGGTAGTTGCTGATGAATATAAATTTGCGTTTCAAGCATTCTTTGATAAGTTGTAGTTGCCAGCTTGTCCCGACGTGTTCATTCGTAAGTCCTGTTTCGTGCGTATGTAGCGTTTGCTGTGTATGCCGTGTCTCCATAAAACGATCGTGCAAATTTCAGAGTGAAATAAGCCGTCGAAGACGCAGAAATGTAAAACTGACATGTAGGTGCTACAGCTACTATTTGTCTGACAGCTGGTTTTTATGAAGAGCAGAACGGTATGTAAAAGTTCGTTCGAGAATGGCTGCAGAAAGGATTTATTTGGTTCGTGGCTGGTTTATGCCATAAAATATTGGCGTATTCATAATGTTCATCATATGTGATGAACATAATTAAGTGGATGACCTCGGTTGGTGCACCAGTCGGTTCCTGATGGTTTCGTGGTGGGGCTCGCACCTGGTTGGGGGGTTATACTATATAACCCATTTGTCTTCTGGACTTGAAACAGTTTCATCCAGTTCTGGTAACGAACAAGAAAGAGAATAGACAGTTAGACATACCAATTTTGATCTCGATAATCTCACTAGTGTGTTAAAGCTGCTTTAGTTTAAAATGAAGAAAAAGTGCTTAGATATCGTGATTTGCACCGACTGCAGTGAGCAGCTGCGGTGAATACACCTGTGGTGAATATACCTGCAAAGACCACAGTTATTCTTTTTAAACACTAAGTGAAAATCAAGATGCAATTGCAAACAACTTAATGGTGTGAGCTGCATACATGATGTAGAACGAGATAACTCTTAAAAGTGTATAAGACAGAAATCTTAAAAGTGTATAAGACAGAAATCACACAATGTCCGAAGGATGAAAGGTTTATTAGAGGGCTATGTGGTGCACTTCGTAGAGCTGGCAGAATGAGAAAGGAGGTACGAAAGCCGAGAAAAAAAGAAGGGAAAGAAAAAAAAACGATGAATGGGCAATGCGCTGCCACACGTAGGACTGCATGGCTCGACAGAGTCACTCTGCGCACATTTGTCGTTTCATAGAAGTGCAAGAAAACTGATATTTCCCAACATGTTGCGGCCACTGGACAATCAGCCTCTTTCACGACATGTGCTGCTCAACACCTTTTACATTCATTCATCAGAGAGAGAGAGCATAGGGAGAAAGGCAAGGAGGTACGTTAACCAGGGCTGAGCCCTGGTAGGCTACATTGCACGGGGGAAGGAGAGAGGGGAAAGAAAGTTACAGAGGGGGAGAGAACAGTTGACTGACTGGGCCGACGCGTAACGGTTTCACATCACAAACGATGAAACAGGCCGGTGTCTGAGAAAACGCAACAGCGCTTCCGTTGCATTTCAGAATTGGGATTTGTAGTGTCATGGTCCCAATACTTTATCGACAGTAAAATCAATTCTGTCCAGTTGATTTAAAACACTGCGCAGGTGAAGCTTCTCGGTTGTGTATGCTGGGCAGTAACATAACTGGTATTCAATTGTCTCATTGATGGCGCAGTCCTTGCACTCCGCACTGTCGGCCATTCCAATCTTAATGAGTAGGCAATGGTAAAGGCTACGCCCAGGCGCAGACGGCACAACACCATACCCCCCTCCCTAGAAAGACCACAGGGTAGCCGCAATGGAGAGATGGGTCGAGAAAATACAGATAATGATGTACGAACTATGATGACTGCCACCTCTGGAGGGTCATGTTCTGCGCCAACTTACTTGAGTATTTATCCGTATTAGCCGAGTCAATCTGAGATAAAAGTACGGAAGCAGAGTTTTTTTGTACGTGTGCATTTTGTTATCCCCTGAACCACAACGTTGTGTGCTTGTTCGGTCGCATAATGAAGCATTTTTCTGATGTCCCACACCAGTTGTTCATACGACCCGCGAAGAAGGGCCAACGAAATACAATGTACAGCCGCCTTGGAGTCGCAGAATACTGCCTACTGCCTATCGATTATCCGGTTGTTGCTTGATATAACCAATGGCACCTCGCAGGGCAACAATTTCTGAATTAGTCGACGTGCTCACTTGACAAAGTTTGTACGTGATGTTGATGTGTCGCAATAGGATGACGGTGGCACCGGTGGAGATGGTCTGGGTGGTAAATCCATCCGTGTATACGTGGATTCTGTCAGCGTAGGGGGTGTGTAATTAGTCCAGAGTTGCTTTCTTCAAGGTCAAGGTAGAAGGTACTTTTCTATTTCTCATTCCTGGGACGGAGAGGGGCACGTCGGGTTGTCGTAGGCTGCAGAAGGCGGACGGTCACCGTGCCAAGGCTATAAAACCGGGCGGTAGCAAAGCCCAGCGGGAGCTGGCGATCTTAGAGAACGACGCCTGCGGTCGTTATTCTGGCAGAAATGCCAAATGGCTCGATACCATCCGTGAAATGTGCCGAATATGGGCTCTCAGCGCGTCGGTTGTGACGTATACTATAGGTCGTAACCCGATAATTCCAAGCCAATATAGCTGTTCCAGCGGTTGAGGTAGTTCGCGGTAGGCCGAGACGAACACGTAGTGCCTGTGCTTGCACGCTCTGAAGTGCTCGAATGTTTGAATTGCAAGCTTTAGTAAGCAGAGGCGAACTACAGCGTAGTACACCAATAAAAAGTGCTTGATGTAGCTGTAGCATAGAACTCAATGAGTGACCCCATCTTCACCCATCAGTATTTTAAGATAGGCGTGCAGATGATCAGTGACCCATAGGAGAATTACGGAACAAGATTAACTCCAGGTAGAGTATAACCAGTGTCCGCACGATGTTCAAGACGCACCGTGTTTTTTTTTAATTTTTCATATACTTCCTGTGTTGCCAATAAACATAGCGGTACAGATAACTGACAATTATTTCACCATTCTCATGTCAGTACACTAAGCACAAAAACTGAATCCACATACAAAACACTGCATGTAGCCTAAATAAGACCACTCGGTGAAAGCGGTCACCTTAAGCACGAATTGTGCTAACAATTAAATAATACCTAATTCCTTATGTGAATGTGTCGAATTCCATAGAGTGACTGCTACGGCCACAAATATTTTAGTTGCTGGTGCGATTTATGGACCCAGCGCCACTGCCAGTATTGCGAGCCTGTTGGTGGAATGCGCATGGGGTGTTGCGGACGGAAAATTGGCAGCTTTTACAAGCGTTGATTAGAAATAAATATCTATAGCTTGGTGTTTACATTGCTTGATGGTGCTGTTCTATACAGAGGAACGTTTGTGCGCGTTAGTAGCCGTTCTCTTACCAGCGCAACGTGAGAAATTTGCATTTGGTCGGCAAGCGAGCCGATTAAGAAGAACATGTTGCGTAAGTACTGGTTGCTTGATTTTGCAATGAAATGTGTTTCGGACCGCCCGGGGCCTTTAGTTACTGGTTAGAACGCAAAAAGAATATTTCTGCAACTCTTAAGGAAGTACGTTTATAGATTTTATACTTTTTTCAGCTTTATTCAGTTTAATTGTTCTCGTACCTGTATACAAAACGATACACTAACGGCCAAAAAAGACGTGATAGTTCCAATATAACCTGGTGTTTAAAACGTTTTAGGCTCGATTCAGACGTTTCTTTCCTGCGTACACCTTCTTTTAAAAAGTGAAGCTACCTCCTGAACGAGTAGTTGCCCACAGTTTATTAATTTTACATAGAGAGCAGTACCTCACATTCATTGTGAGGGACGCACTGCCATGGTATGAGACGTGAGTGCTGTGGACTTTCAACTACCCGATCTGTGTTTTAACGAGTACGTACCTTCTACTTCAACCAGAGCTGACGCTTCAAGCGCTGGCGGTTGACGCTGGCTTGCTTCACCGATCTCTTTTATCTGACTGACGGTGAGCTGCCGAGTTTCTTGCATGGACAGAGTCAAGTCGTATTCTCGCTCCAGCAGTTGCTTCACCTCGATGCCCATCAAGGAGTCAATGCCCAACTCACCGAGGCTGATGGACGAGTTCAGTTTGGACGGATCTTTGACGCCTGCATGAAATATGACCAGGAATGCGTCACGATATTCATAAACTACGCATACTGGCTTTAGATGATGAATGTACGTGTATTTGTTTCTTCGCTTCAGACTCCTTTTTCGCCTTATCGCAACATAAGTGGCGTTGCTAGGGGGTGGGGAGCGAGGGCACACAGTGCTTGTTCCCTCCACTTCAGAATTTTTTTGACAGGATTAGAAAACCTAAAATAACACTCAGCCATATCTGTCTCTCCGTCTGCCACTTGACGTAGATGACGTGCCCCTCGCACCCTGCAAAAAACATTACTACCTACGCACCTTCTTCACCTTTTCAAAAATAGTGGCAACTCATGTGTTTGCGCCCTAAATATGGTAAAAGCAGTGATTACCTGCAAATATTCCAGAACTGCCTATACTCAACAATTCGTTAGCTGCGATTTCCGAGGCAACCAGCACGCCGGCCACCTAAAATTCGCATGCCCTGTGGCGTCCTGTAAACAGCACTATTGATAACTTCTTCAAATGGTGCATGTCCACAAAGAAGTACTGATGACGGTCATCTAAAAGTTATATCCCTCTGTATATGAAACGCCAATGGCTTGTGAGTGACACAGGTAAAATAATTGCTCTAAGAGAACATACAAAAAGCGGACACTGGGCCTTTCACTCTACCTTGTGTGAAGCTGCAAATTATAACCCCCCCTACGGTAGTGCCGCAAATGGAGTCTTAGATACCGCGGGAACACATTGCAGCCACAGAGCTTCTAAGATTAGGTAGAAACCGCGTAGCATGCCGCCAAGGTTTGGTGGACAATAAGTTCAGACCGATCCCACCCCATGCGAGGGGACAAGCATATTTTCAATATTGAGAGGCTGCCAGCGAGGGCGGTGATTCGGAACCTTCATGGTTCGGACCAAAGGCGCTGCCGTCTGGATGGTGCGTTGTGGTGTGGACAAGTACACATGTGCATGGGGGGGGGTACGCCGCCTTATTGCGGCACTACACGATACTGCACGTGCACGTCTTGGGCCCTGATTTGCTGCGGCCAAAGTGGCAAACCTTTCGGCGAGGATACAAATTCGCTTCGAAAGTCACCCAGGCAAGCCGCTACTAGTAATACTCTGCTGTGAATCGTCGGTGATCACCATCACGGGTACGCCTCTCCACTTGCGTGCTTAGCGTTCCACCAAACCGTGCTTGAACGTAGGTCACTTACCTCCTGTGGTGCTGGTACTTTGGAATGCAAAAGGTAAACTTATAATTTTGGCTCTCCTGGGTTAGGTATATTTAGACGCTACAATGATAAAAATGACGGAAATGATAAAAAGTTACACCATCTCCTACTAAAGGGAACAATGAGTGTAATGAAAGGGGCGCAAGGTTTGACTCAAAGTACTCTTCAGCACGGGCACCTTGGCCGATGTTGAAGCGTCGTTGCAAATGGAGCGAACCGTGAATAATTAACATAGTAATATTCCTGTTACTCGTCCAGAACTCTTTTTGGAGCACGCCACGTAGGTTCCTTACCACGTCATATGGCAGTAAGTGCGTTTGTCGCGCGTCTGTAGAGTCTCAACACCCGACGCCATCACATGATTGCTGAGAGAGAGTAAGGGGGAGAGGCCTCAGCATCCTACCCAGGCCCTTACACAAGCACGAACTCTCTTGCGTAACAGTGCGATCTGGCATTGCCTGGGACAGGAAGGAGGAAGAGGAGGCGAAGGAAGGGAGGGAAGAAATGAAATGCAGGGAGGTCAACCAGACGCCCGTCCGGTTTGCTACCCTGTACTGGGGGAAGGGGTGAGGGGATTAAAGGAGAAGAGAGACAGAAGTGAAGGGAAACGTGTGTGTAGATGTGACCTTGTCCATTGCACGCTTATAAGCAGTTGCGTCATCCGGTCGTCGTTAGAAAACTTGGCAATGCACGCGTCGCTTTGCTCGCCTGCGACGCATAGAGCCATGAACCAAGAATCTTCTCTTCGGAAAAAGGTCTACCGTCTAGTGTCTCTTACGTTTCGCGCAGCAAGTTGCGTTCGCTGGCAAAGCATTCACATGAACACAGTACATGTTCTATTGTCTCGTCCGGGTCGCACGATTCACATAGGGAGCTACCCGCCATGTCTACGCGAAAGGAGTACGCCTTAGTAAAAGCTACTACTAACCACAGGCGGCACAGTAAAGTTGCATCCTGGCGGAGAGGTTCGATAGAACTTGAAGCTTTCTCGATGTGTCCAATTTGTGTAGGCGGCGGTTCCCGACACTGGGGTCACTCAGCCAAGTGTCCGACATAGTGTTAGCGAACGAGTGAAGGGCAGCATTATCAGCAAGGTCGTTATCGACAATACCACAATGTCCCGGTAACCGCTGGAACACCACGTCATGTCCTTTCGATAGAAAATTCGTGAAGCACTTCTCTTATTTCATTAACTAGTTGTTGATGCACCGTTTGTCGTAAAACTGATTGCAAGCTCTGAAGGTATGCCTTGGAGCCGCAGAACACAGCCCATTTTTGAGGTCGGGCTTTCGCGATATAAAGTATAGCAGCACGTAAGGCGGCAAGCTCCTCTGCTGTGGATGTTGTCCTATGTGACAGTTTGAACTTTATAGTGACCTGGTACGTCGGGATGACAACAGCACCTGTGGAGCTGTCAGCCTAGACCAATACAACGATGTAAATGTGGAGCCTCTGTCCGTATTTTTCGTTGAGTAGCGACAATGTCACCAGTCCTAGGATCACTGCTGAATGACGGCTCTTGTTCGTTATTCCCAGAATAATGAGGCACACCTGTGGTCGTTGTAGGCACCACGGAGGTGACGCTTGTCTTGTTGCTGGAGGGAAGCCAAAAGGAAGGCATTCTCTCTGAGAAGAAATAATCTTTTAAAACATCGCTTGTGGTCATTGAAGTGGCAACACTGCAACATGGTGACCAGGAACTCGGCAGAGGTGTCTTATGTGGGCTCTGAAATTGTCAGTGGTGATGTATGTTTGAATCGGATGCTCTCTTGCGATCACCATTGCCTCGTAGGTAGAGGTGCCTCGCGGCAATTTTAAGCACAGGCGTAGTGATTGTCCTTGCAGACTTTCGAGAGTGCGGATGTTCGTCTTGCACGTACTTGCCAGTAAAGGCAAGCTGTAGCGCAAAAATCCGAGAAATAGTGCCCTGTATAGCTGTATCATTGACGTTATCGATGTGCCCCAAGATTTTCCGCAGAGGAACCGCATTATAAGGACGATGGAAGTTAGCCTTCTCTTCAGGTAATTGCGGTGGGCACTCCATGAAAGGTCCCTGTCAATAGTCACACCCAGGAAGCGATGGTTCTTCTGGTATAGAATATTTTGTCCATTGATGGTAACGGGGTATCATGTCATGGCTCTGCGAGTAAACCAACCAATGCACATTTCTCCGTTGCGACGGAAAGACTTTGCTTTCGGAGATATGAGCATGTCCGGGTGGCAGCCTGCTGGACTTTTGCACGTAATTGTAGACGAGTTACAGCCGAAGTTCATAGACAAATATCGTCACATATGTAGATATGAGGATAGTACTGGACAAAGTTTCATGAAGACCTACCATCACGAGGTTAAATAAAGTGGGACTTAATACGACGCCCTGAGGGACGCCACGTGAGGTATAGTAATTGGTGCTAGGTACATTTGCGGTTTGCATAAAGGAGGACCTTCTCGTCAAATAATCCTGGATCCATTGGAACATTCGACCACCGATTCCGACAGCTTCCAACGAGTCTAGGATGGCTTTTTGTGTTAGGTTATCATAAGCCCCTTTGACGTCGAGGAAGAGTGCCAGTTGTATGCACTCGAGGCTCTTCTGTCGCTGGATAAATGTTGTGAGATCAATCACGTCGTCAAGAGATAACCTACCTCGCCGAAAACCCGTCATGCAGTTTGGATATATGTTGTAGCACTCGAGGTACCATTCTAGGCGTGTAAGTATCATCCTTTTTATGACTATTCCTACGCAACTTCCGAGGGCAATAGGGCGAACTGATTTTAAACCAAATGGTGACTTTCCTGGTTTGAGTAGCCGCACAACTCGACTTATCTTCCGATCCTGGGGAACAATGCCCGCCTGCCATGAGTGGTTGTAATAGCATAACAAGTGTCCCCTAGCCTTCTGTTGAAGGTTGGCTAGAGCGGCGAAGGTGATGCCATCGGGTCCTGGTGAAGATGATTGTCGAGAAGCCGCCAAATATGCGTTAAGTTCTTCTATAGTGAAAAGATTGTCCATTTCGGAGATGCGGGGTTCAGGGATAACACTCTTAACGGTGCCAGCGGACAAGTAGGACACACCAGCGATTCGCGTACAAAACTAATTTGCCACTTCAAGTTGGGTGTGGCCTAAATGTAGGGCTTAAGCTATGAAAGGATGTCTTTGTTGGGGAGTCGAGCGCAGGCCGCGAATAGTGCTCCAGATGCGTGACAACGGCTTTCGGGGATTCAATGATTTGCAGAATGATTTCCAGCGTTCCTGTTCAAGTTTGTCTAAACGTCGTCGGACATTTTTCTGTATGCATCGTGCCAGCCTCAAGTCGCATATTGCTTTCGTCCGTCTGTATCTCCCTCCCGCCCTTCGGCGAAGCGCACACAGTTCTTCCAGTTCAACGCCGAAATCTGAACGCTTGCCAGTGAACGGAAGGAGACAGGAAGCTTCCTGCATTGCCTCTTTGATGACAACCTCCAAGTTCTGGTCAGGGCCTTCACGGCATGTATTTTTCATGAGTTGCTGAAATTTGAACCAATCAATTCTTCGCATTGTGGTCCTTGTAGAGGAGTTAGTAAGACCTCTTATTCGCATTTAGGTTGGAATGTGGTCACTCCCATGCGTTTCGATGTCTGAAAACCAGTGCACTTGCGACCGGAAGTTTCTGGATACCAGAGTCAAATCAAGTCAACTGCTGTACGTAAGGCCCAGCAGATATATAGGACTGCCATCATTGTAGAAACATAGGTCATGCTTGGAGGCGAATAACCCGAGGTTTCTTGCTTGAGCGTTGATCGTCTAACTACCCCAGATTAATTGATGTGCGTTGAAGTCTCCAGTTATAACCCACGGGCCCATAGTTGTTATCCGTATGTCTTGTAGTCGGTCTTGTTTAAACTGTCCGGATGGTGATATGTAGACACCAATGAGGGTGAATTACACTATTTTCTTTTTAACACGTAAGCAGACATTTTTATTGTAATTATGCGGTTGAACTACGTGATGCACAAATGTGAAATCAGTGCGAATGTAAACAACCACCTTGCTGCGTTCCTCACACGTTGAAGAAACGAAAAATTCATACCCTGTAGTTTGAGAGGTTGTTGCACATTTGGTTCACATATAACTATTACAGGAATACGATTCATGAATATACACTGACGGAATGAAGAGATGCGGGATCTCAGGCCTCTCACGTTCCACTGCAGTATCGACGCTTGTCAGACCTCGTTGCGGAAGGAGAAAAATGGTCGAGCCATGGTTGCTACTGGAGACTTGCAAATACTGGACTTGGAGCATCCAGTACTTGTGCACTCTGAGTGAGTGGAGACTTGCGACTGCTGCACAGCTTTCGCATGGCATCCAGCAGTGTTCGGAACATTCTGATGGCTTGTGTTTCCTCCTCAGGCAGCTTGTCAGCGACTGGCTGGAGGGTTGTGATTGTCGATGTGCGCTTGGAATTTGCTGATGGCTGTGATTTCGGCAATGAAGGCCAAACCTCTCGAACATTGCTGTTCGTTGGTTTATTGACCGCGCTGGCCGCCTTTGGTCTGGGAGGCAAGGGCGGTGGAAGAGAAGGGCGGTGGAGTGGCGCTGTCGATGCAGTGTCTGCGGCATTCTTTGATGAACTGCGGCGACGATGACGCCTCTTTCGGACGTTCGAGGCAGCCTCTCGATGCGACAAATTGTCTCTGACCATTTGTTTCGATACCGCTTTTTCTCTTTGGATTTTCGGGCATTCTTTTGACGAAGCTGCATGTGACCCATGACAATTCGAGCATTTAAGGGTAGTTGCTTCGCAGTCATCCGCAGAATGGGCTTCCGCGCAACGAGGACACACCATCCTATTTTCGCATACGCTTCTGACGCGGCCCAGCTTCATGCACTTATGACACTGCAAGGGCTTCGGTACGAAAGGTCGCATAGAATGCCGAAAATGGCCCACCTTTACGTGTAAAGGAAGAGAGTCGCCCTTGAACATGATCTTCAATCAGCGTGAGTTTCCCAAATGGACAACTTTTGCGATGACGCTGGCTTCATTTGCCAGTTTGGCCAGAACATCGAAGTTTGAAGGTTTGACCAGAACACGATGCGTTCTCATTGCTGCACGAGGTCATCACTTACAGGTTGTTTCCGTCTTAAAAAGTGACAAAATGACCGCATCAATGTGACATCCTTCGAAATTATTGCCAATAAGAATATTCATTATGGTACACAGACATTATCAAACGCGAAAACAGATGACGCAATCTGTTTATCACGTCCACAGGCGGATTTTTCAGTCGCAGCTGCAGGATTTACAGCATAATGTTACTCTCGCTGCTCTCAAACAACTTATTAGGACACACTTGGCTACAAGAATATGGCGATGCTATTCCCGTATACATCGATGGATATGTGACTATGCGCTTCGACTGTGGTCTTCGTGATCGCCCACTTGCGTTCTTGTCGAAATTGGAAATTAGTCGATAAGTTATCTTCAACACTGATTGTTTGATATGTACGATTTAACGTTCCAAAACCACGATATAATTATGAGAGACGTCGTAGTAGAGGGCTCCGGAAATTTCGACCTCATAAGGTTCTTTAACGTGCACCCAATTCTGAGCACGCGGGTCTACAACATTTCCACTTCCATCTGAAATGCAGCCGCCGCAGCCGGGCCTAGATCCTGCGACCTGCGGTTCAGCAGCCGAGTACCTTAGCCACTAGACCACCGCGGCAGGGCACCATCTTTAACAGCTGAAGAACATGTTGCAATACGGAAAGCCATCCTATTTGTGTACTGCCGGACACCTCGTAAACGGGGGGTACTATCAGACTCAGATTTCGCATTGCAGACATTTACACTTGCTTAAAGAGCGCACAAGATTTTAAATTATCTTCAAAAATCATTAAAAATTTTCTCTCATGCGACCACAAGATGGCATTGCAATGGACACTGGGAAATGGCAGCCAAAAGCTTGCTGACACTGAAGCAATAGTCGAAGTACGTAACGCCCCCTTTGACGTGAAAGTGCCGTTTTCTAGAAGTGGCGTTAATCCTTTATGGATATCGCGCATTCTGGAGTGCTCAGCAACTTATTGGTCGCAGCCAGACCATCCATACAGGTGCGTGCAAGAAACAGTCCCTGAGATAACTTTTCGCCGCTCGGCTTGCATGAAACGATGCAACTCCGGTCTACTACAACGCATTTACCTGGGCGTTGCATTCACTCACCGCTACGAACACTTTTTCCGCCGTGCACACAGCCCGAACTGTGAATGTTGCCAAGTGTGTGAAATAACAGCGCATATATTTTGTGACTGCCTACTTTACATGTCGCAACAAAAAAAAACGCTCGCTTCAAAGCTCACAGAAATCGCTGTGGCAACGCCAAGTGAAAGCGATATTTGGACAGCAATGTGCGATCAAACAAGATGGACTGTAATATGGTTGTGATATGCTTGCTAAAACAATAGACTGTAGTGAATCCACGGCGATGCACCGTTATTTTATATGTGAAAACTTGTTTTTTCTCCCAATTTTCACTCCTCACTTCTTTTTTTCGCCCTGTCCCTCCTACCCAGTGCAGAGTAGCAGACTATAGAGCGAACTAGATCAGGCCGACCTCTCTACCTTCTATTAAAACATATATCACTCTCTCTCTTTCTTTATACAGTCACCAATTACCTAAGCAAAAGGCCATGCAAACTCACCAAGAATGCGAGCCACGCTCTCAACAAGATTTCGCTTCTCGCCGCTGTCTTGTGTTGATGACTTCGTACTCTTCACGAAGCAGGAGACGATGGGCTGTTTTTGACTGAGGAAGTAGTCCATAACAGCCAAACAGGAATTTATCGGCTGTGGCATAAGTCCGAAAAATTGCGTTTCCGTGTGCATACTTTCGTGGAACGCGCCAACTTCTCCAATAGGGCCCCACTGGATGGCCAAGCCTGGACACACAAAAATATTGTATTTACATAATTTCGATGATATGTGAAGTTTAACGTCCCCAAACCACCATATGAATATGAGAGACGCCGTAGTGGAGGGCTCTGGAAATTTCGACTACCTGTGGTTATATACCGTGCACCCAAATCTGAGCACACGGGCCTACAACATTTCCGCCTCCATATTAACATAATTTTTGAAAACAAAAACTTGTAAACGTCGATATCAATCAAATATTTATCATGAAGAGTTTCGTCGTTACAAGTATTGGCAAGGACTTCCAGGGTATTCAGCTCATTGAAAACAATTGCTCTGCATGAGAAAAATCGGGGTATTGTGGTCTCGAGGATTGTACCGACAGATTGAGAAATATATGTCGAGGTGGTTTCTGACAAAATCATTGAACAGAAAACTTTCGTACAACCCTATGTATTGAATGACAGCCGCAAAATTTCCGACAAGAATTAAAAAAAATATCAGTTGAAGGTCAGCGCTCGTCCACGTCAACTCCCTTTTTGTGCATTCGAGGTTTTTTTATTTTTCCCCCGCTATGGAAATTTTTCTTCACAATGAACTACCAACTAGCGCAAACGCTCACGTTAATTTGTGAATGCTAGCAAACTACCGCTACTGATAATAAACACAACACAGGAAAATCAAACGTACCAGGACACTGATACTACACGATACCATGAATCTTACCACGTTTCTTGGACACAAAATATAGCGTATTGCACAAGGTGCGCAGAGAAGATCATTTCGAGAGTTGTAGTTTTTGTGTTTGGTACCCTGAAGTACTAATTCAATGACCAGATTTTGCAAAATTATACAAATACCTTATTCGTTTCTAAACGGAAGGGAGGTTGTATAAAGGTGCAAACAAAAAGAAAATCAAAACCATATGATGAGAGGGGGCTACAAGGAGGGCGTGCTCTAACAAAGTAAATTGAAGAAGTTAAAGTTCGAAGCGTTGGCTATTGCGTACTGAAAGCTTTTTTGGTACTCTCTTCATATCTATCTATCTATCCTCTATCTATCTATCTATCTATCTATCTATCTATCTATCTATCTATCTATCTATCTATCTATCTATCTATCTATCTAACCACCGTCGATTTTTAGCCTTCCTAGCCATCTCGATGATAGTATAGGTGCGAAAGTTGATATGGCACAACATGACTGTATAACAAACACAATTGACTATTCATAATACGAAACTTATAACCTGCATGTCAAGAACGTCATGAATTACATTTCATAGCCTTGCTTGCTGTTGGGTTGGTTTTGTTCACATGACGTTTAAAAAAACTTGTATGGTATGACATGACTGCTTGACGAGCATAAGTGTGAGACACTAACGTGGAATTCATGACATGCATTCAAGATTTTGATGGTATGAGTAGTCATGACTACACGCCACACTCATGGTGCGCTCGTGGTCATTCGCTAGCTTCACATATACCAAATTTGGTGTTACATGACGTCATTGAATGCTGAAAGTACATGACTGGTGTAAACATAATAATATTGACATGAGTGTCATGTAAGAACGTTACAACTTACCACGCTCATGATACGCACACGGCCCTTTCGCTAGCTTCACATATACCAAATTTGATATTACGTGATGTGAATGGCCGATGGAGCTAAATGACATATGTGAATAAGATAACCCTGACATGCCTGTCATGTAAAACATGAATACATGCTACGCTCATAGCGTGCTCACGGCCGTTTCCCTATCTGCACATATACCAAATTTGGTATCGCATGACGTGAATAGACGACGAAAGTAAATGAAACGTCCAAACATTATAACCATGACATGCGTGTGGTGTAAAACATGACTACACGCTGCGCTCATCGCCTGCTCACGGCCGTTTTGCTCGCTCCAAATATACCAAACTTGATGTCACGTGGCGTGAATAGACGACGAAGTGAAATGACTCATACAAACATGGTAATCATGACATGAATGACATCTTTGGCATGATTCAGGTGTGCCTTGTAATGTTGCGCTGATTTTAGGATGATACATCATCCTTCATCTTTCGCGCTTTGCGTTTTATCGATTTCCACAGGACATGGGATCTGCCAATTTTTATCACAACCTTTTGTTATATATAATTTCGTTAAAGTTGTTTATAACAGCATTAGTATCACATATACATTATGAAACAGCTCTATCAAACTTTCTGGTGATTTTAGCACATTGCCAGAGCACTGTTGTAGAGCCCCTTATTAAAGTATGAACGTACAGTTATACTTAAATATAACACATTTTGCCGCTAACAGAGCAACTACTGCATGCACATTTCACACCATTTGTAAGTTCGTCTCTAAATTAGGAAAGGATCTGTATTCAGGGCAAGGCTGTGTTTGAGAGAACATTTCCTCAAGTGCAGTTGTCTCCTTCAAGGCTAGGACTGACTTCCGTATACCTATATTGCGTGTTTTTTTATGTAAATACTTTTCTAACAAACTAAATCCGTTATATGAGTAGAGTTTCGAAACGGTCCTTTCTATATATCTGTTTCATCATTTAAATGAGATGTATTTCCGTTTTCTTAACCTACACATTTCCCGATGCGTTTCTGCTGGTACGGTGTAATAATATTAGGATTTTGCTTTGAACTACAGCATACTTGGCCACAGCCTTCATTAGGACGCTTAACATCTGCTCAAGTGAAGGCAACGCTTTTTTAGTAGCTATGTAGCGTAAAATTAGAGCGCCGGCCTAACGATAGAAGTACTCATGGCACCACTTGCGTACTGCTCTGGTTCTTCCTATTTGAAGGAAAGCACATTTTGAAGCATCCATGTGAAAATACTGATGATGTGACGTAATCCTATCACCCGAGCAAGCGTTTACATGTAGTGCAACGCATACATTTGAAACAGTAGCAGATTATCTCACCGGAAAGCCCGTCGGCGACCCTTCGCTCACACAGGCGCTCCGCGACAGAGTTGGCAAAGCCGTAGTTTGTCTGACCGACTTGACCACGGCCAGAAGAGAAAGAGGAGAAGACAACGAAGTGGTCGAGCTCGGGACACTCCTGCCGCGACACCTCGTCGAGGCTCTGAGTGGCCAGCACTTTCGGCTTACACACCTCCGCGTACATCTCTGCTGTCTGGTTCTCCATCAAGGCATCACGCAGAACCTGCCATTATCAAATATATATAGAGAAAAAAGACCTTTTTTCACACTGCTAATTGTCATTCCGGCTATGCTTGTATTTTTTTATGGTGCGTGATCGAAAGCAAGTTGATACAGTTGTGGCGAACATAATTTTATTCTGGTCGTGTATACTAACTTCAGGAGACCCCTATGATAGTGAGGCTGGGAAACCTTCTCTGTATGCGAGTTGTAAATTCATAATAATTTCAGGTGGCTAGCTGCTGTTGTTACCTTTTATCATGCGCTCGTGCTCCTATTGCGTGCTGAATTATTAAATATATGCGAATAAACAATAAGTGAAGTGGTGATCACACTACAACCGTCCTGTTTTCTGTACAAAGCAAGGTACAACAGTTATACCAGCACTTATTTTAGGTTTTCTTTCACGTGGCGTCTTCAGTGGCCCCTATAGCTGCTCCATGTGCTAATTCCGATTGTGTTTACTTATAGTTTGCTGCTCAATGCACTCTGGATACCATCTTTTTGTTACAGTCGACCATCAGGTAAAACACAGGTACATTTTCATCTTTGGAAAGAAATATAGCCCTGTACCCATAAAGTATGTATTTAGGAAGAATTGTAAAACTGGGGATTTCAGTCTTCATATCTAAAGTAAGAACCTTGCTGTACATGGGTAACAGGTCAAGCTTACGTCCCTGCAAGACAGGAGAGCCGCTAACAGCGTTTGCACGTGACGATAGTACACTACTCTTCCTTGTATGCGATATTCTGGCTCTGGCAGCCGCATAAGCGATGGAGGCAAGATTTTAGAGCCCCAAGATTTAGATTTAGGAGCAACATAAGGAACTCGCCAACACCAGTCACCAACTTCTATTCCGGGCGCTCTTACCAGCAGGTGCAGCGACAACGAAGTGATGGCCACAGGTGACACTCATCGTCCATAAAGCGTTGAAGGAATCCGGTATAACGTGGCAGCACGACCATAGATTGAGTACAGCCGTGGCCACGTCTGTGTAGAGCACGCGAACAGGTGATTTTTGCTCTGCGGGGCGACACCTTGGGGCGGTATCAGGCTCTGACGTGGTCAGCCTGACAACTAGGCTGTGCACGCTCGTGATACATCACTTCAAAGCAAAAAACTGCCTCAAGGTTTCGGCCCGCAGAGCAAAAACCAGCAACTCGAGCGCTCTACACAGACGTGGCCACGGCTGTACGTCGACAAAGGTCCTTTTCGTGAGACATGTGTCTGCGAATAGTGGTATACAGGCGTGCACTAGTTCTCGTTAAAACATGACAGCTCAAAGAAGGATTATGCCACCCGTCCGGCCTCTCGTAGTGGACATGAAGAGGTTGTAAATTAAACGCCCTCGTGAAGGCGGTGACCATGCGCATTGAAAGGACGAACCTCTGTAACGTATTCTCGTCCAGTGATTGCACATTTCTACCTAACTAGGGGTATCAATAGTATATAATGATTCACCAATCACTTTCCTGACTACAAAATTCGTCTGCTTACAAGACATAAATTTAAGTTTCTTCGTAATCAGTCTTTTTGGGCCTTGGTATTCTGCTTCTGACGTTTATAGGCCTACAGTTTGACACCTTCGCTTCTGACATTGCTATCCACTGGAACGGTGTTGCAGCAAGCCAATCGTAGTTACTCTTTCGTCTCGATAAATCGATATTTACAGGTGTCGATTTCGTCTTGATAACATCTCGGTGCGCTGACGGGAGAACGGAAGGCTAGGTGACAAACAAGCGCTCCTAGCCTTCCATTCTTTCGTCCACTGTATGCTCGCTGAAATGCTACCAAGAAGGTCGCCAACCAACTCGCCCAATTTTTCATTTTATTACATTATATCGTCCATTTATGTTGTGACATTTAAACTCATGCTGCAATTGTCCTTGCCTCGTTTTGGTAGATCAAAAGGTGCCCCTTGGTAAGTAACTGCCGTAGAGTTTGCGATATATTTTAAAATAAACTAATACCTTCAATTGACAGGCAAATGTTTGTTTCTCATCAGGGCGAAAATAAAAAGTTTATTTACCGGGCAATTTCAAGCGCAGAGAAAATGCCATCAACAAATAATGTATCTAATAATGAAACAACCTGTACCCAAATCAAGAAACAGGAATCTTTTCAGCAATTCAAAAATTTTTTGGTTGTTGCAATTATCCAAAAGTGCTGATTCAGAGGAAAGTCAGTGACGTTGGCATGAATACATATTGTTACACAAGGCAAGGTAAATTAATGGGGGTTTAATGGGCACTGAGTCCGCGATCACCGTATAATGATGATGATTTCCACCGCCATGGCTCGTACCCACTAAGAGGGATTGCAGTGGAGGCAACGTTGTCTTCATTCTCTACCCGCGCTTCCGTTGTTTTTCTTGCTAGTGATACTTCTTATCATTCCTCCGGTCTCAGACGAAGCCCTCTGGGCGAGTCCTTCTTGCATCCTTTGTGTAAACGGCTTCAAGCGGGCAACATGCGTCACCTCTGTCTTGCATGAACGTCGGCCACTAGTGGTGACGCGTGCAATTTCATAGTTGACCTCGCTGAGACGATGAAGTATCACGAAAGGAAAGGCGTAGTGTGCCAGTAGCTTTTGGCTCAAGCCACGTCTGCGTATTGGGGTCCACACCCACACTAGATCACCGGGGGCATAGGTTACATGCCTGTGTTGACTGTCGTAGCGAGTTTTGGAGAACTCTTGCGCTGCCAGTGTACGTAGGCAGGCAAGTCGACGTGTCTCTTCCGCACGACACAAAGTTTCCGCACTTGTTAAATCGTCATCGACGACAAAAGGAAAGATAGTGTCCAGCGTATGTCGAGGTGAGCGAGCGTAGAGCAGATAGAGAGGGCTGTAGCCTGTCGTTTCGTGTTTCGACGTGTTCAAGGCGTACGTGACGAATGGTAATACTTCATCCCAGTTTTTGTGGTCGTAGGAGACGTACATTGACAACATTTTGATCAACGTTCGGTTTGTGCGCTCAGTGAGGCCGTTAGTTTGTGGATGATACGCAGTTGAGTGTCAGAACTTGGAAGCACACAAATGAAGTAATGATTCGACAATATCAGCGGTAAATTGTCGTCCATAGTCACTTATTATCACGCGAGGAGGTCCGTGTCGGAGGATGACTGAATTCAACAGGAGCTCCGAAACCTGGACTGCCGTGGCGGAGCATAAGGCAGCCGTCTCGCACTACCGCGTCAGGTAGTCGGCGCATACAACTATCCACCGATTACCTTTTGAGGAGCGTGGGAATGGTCCCATAAGATCAATGCCGACCTTTTCAAAAGGGAAACCGGGAGGCTTTACAGGTTGCAGGTGACCAACTGGACCCGAGGAGGGCCGCTTGTGGCTCTGGCACTGCGTACAGCTGGCCACGTAGTTCTTAATTGTCTTGCTCATTTTCGGCCAATAGAACCGCTCTTTCGTGCAACTAAGTGTTCGTGTGGTGCCTAGATGGCCAGAGGTGGGGTCATCATGCGTGAGACGCAGAACAGACGTTTGGAGAGACGCAGGATCAACTAGCAGAAAGCGGGCGCCCGGCGTGGACAAGTTTCTCTCGTAAAGAAGACCAATTCGGACCCAGAATCGGCCTTCGCCTAATGAATTGCTTGCTCCAGGTAAGATAGCTTTCAAGCTTGGGTCATTACGCTGCTCAGCGGCGAAAGTCACGGCATCGGGAAAGCCGTATGACAGAGAAGCGATAAGGTGGTCAAAGTTATCGCCTTCACAATCCGTCGATGGTAGCGGCATTCTGAAGAGGCAATCCGCATCAGCGTGTAGACGGCCAGACTTGTATAAAATGGTGAAGACATGTTCTTGCAAACGAATGGCCATCGTGCGAGGCGGCTAGATGGGTCACGAAGGTTGACCAGCCAACACAGGGAATGGTGATCTGTGATGATAGTGAACGGGCGACCGTAGATGTATGAGTGAAACCGTTGCACGGCAAAGACTACCGCTAGGCATTCCTGTTCGGTCACTGTGTAGTTGCGTTGAGGCTTGCTTAAAGAACGACTTGCGTACGCCACAACGTGTTCCTTCTTGCCACAACGCTGAACGAGAACGGCAGCGATACCGATGCCACTTGCGTCTGTGTGAATTTCCGTGGGCGACGAAGGATTGAAGTGCTGAAGTATTGGCTGTGAAGTTAACAAACACTTCAGCTTGTGAAAAGCGGCATCGTACTCAGAGGTCCCCTGAAACGGGCTGTTCTTGCGTAGAAGCTCGTCAGGGGGTGAACGACATCCGCAAACTTGGGTACGAACCGGCGGAAATACGAGCAGAGCCCGATGAAGCTACGCAGTTGTTTCACAGATTTAGGACGCTCGAACGATTCAACGGCCGCTGTTTTTTGTGGGTCAGGTCTAATGCTATCTTTGTCGACGAGATATCCTAACACCAATGTCTGTCACTCGCCAAAGTGGCATTTTTTAAATTCAATACAAGGCCAGATTTTTCAACGCAGCTGAGCACGAGGTCTAGGCGAGTGTTATGCTCCTCAAACGTACGCCCAAAAATTACGACATCATCAAGGTAACACATGCATATATGCCATTTTAAACCACGCAATATAGAGTCCATAAATCTTTCGAATGTCGCAGGAGCATTACATAATCCGAATGGCATAACGTTGAACTCGTAAAGTCCATCGGTCGTAACAAATGTCGTCTTTTTTTTGTCAGCTGCGGGCATCGGAATTTGCCAGTAACCTGATCTCAGGTCGACACATGAAAAGTAGGACGCGGAATCCAGGCAGTCTAGAGTGTCATCGATGCGCCGCAGTGGATAGACGTGTTTCTTTGTAACAGAATTCAGTCGGCGGTAGTCAACGCAAAATCTCCACGTACCATCATTCTTCCTCACTAGAATTACTGGAGCAGCCCATGGACTTGCCGATTCCTGTATTATTCCCTTTTCCAGCATCTCTTGGACTTGCTCGTTGATGATCTTGCACTCCGATGGTGCCACTCGGTAAGGTTTTGCGTAATGGGATGCACCGATTCGGTGTGGATCTGATGACGTATCCGGGACGCTGGGATTAAGGGCCTTTGGCTGTATTTAGAAAAATCGAACACTTTCGAGTGCTTAGACAGAACGTCGAGCAGTGTATGACGTTCGCTTTGGTCAAGTGACTTGCTGACCATTTGTAGCAATTGGGCCTCTTCTGAACCTTCTAAGCCTAGATGTTCATTTTGGCTTGTAGCATCAACAAGCGCAACCAGCGTCATACATGACTCGGGTCTAAATACTGCAAGTTTCATGCCGCCTGGCAGAATGGCAGGCTTCATGGAACTGTTCATTGTCCACACACCTGCCCGTCCACCAACGACTGACACTATACAATGGGGAATGATAATGTTCTTTTTCAGGCATGCCGAGGGAATCGGTTCGAGCATGGCGTCAAACGTGCCACAGTTGTTACTGGAACATGTCACGGGAAAACACACAGCAGAAAATGCAGGAACGACTGTATCCACGGAGACGAAAAAGATGCATTCCTCCGGACAGGAATTTTCCAAGAGTGACGTTGGGAAAGTACCGTGTATAGAAAGATGCCCACTTCAGCAGTCTACATTTGCCCCACACTCACACAAGAAGTCAACACCCAAGATAACGTCATGCGTAGACCGCGGAATAACCGTAAACACTGTGCAAAACACCTTGCCACACAGCGAGACGTCCGCAGTACATTATCCCACTGGACACAACACGTCACCACTTGCACCAAGATATGTCACTCCACGGTTCAGGCAAAACATCACTTTTGGTCCTAGCAGGTTCTTGAAATTTACACTCATCACCGAGACTGTCGCGCCTGTATCCACAAGTGCCATAGGAGCCACTCAATCGACATTACACGAACTTTGTTCTTCAACATAAACGCTGACGGGGGTGTATCTGTAGGTAGCACCTGTGATCTTGTGGCTTCACCCCCACTGGCCGCATCGACTAGTTTTCTGGCGGCGGTGTACGTGCGCGTCGCCGTGGCGACGGCGATCGTGGGGCACGGGGAGCTGGTGGTGGCGTCAAACTTCGATCAGAGGCCGGCGAGGTGTAGCGTGACCCGGTAGGTGCGCGTGGTTTCCGTGACGTGGAGTGCGGGTGGTCGAAATGTTGGTGATAGATGGGCCAAGACTGTCGCTTATATGAGCGGTGGTCACAAAAACGCGCGATATGACCCGGGACGCCACAGTTGTAGCATACTGGAATTGGTCGAGGGGCACGTGGCTGCTCAGAGTAACGACTCCTCTCGGAAGGCATGGGATAGTGGTGCCGCCCTTCAGGGGCACTGTAGGCAGGCGATGTTGGGTAAACAGACGGGCAAAACTTCGTTCGTAGTTGGGAGTTGGATGACGGGGGAATCCAGCCTGCCGTGTGCCTTGATATTCATAAGCGTCTGCTGTGTTGATCGATGGTTGCCATGGTGGTAGAGAAACAGGAGTCCGCACACGTTCTGGTTCGTTTACGTACACATCCTGAAAATTGCTGGGGCGATGATAGGTCTGCTGACATCGAAGCAGCTCTTCTCTGACAATCTGCCGTATGGTCAAAGCAAGGTCGTTAGGCGGCACTGTTTCAACACTAGCCACAGTGGGGACATTGGACAGGCAGCCGAATTTCGGAGAAATTCGTCGCATCTTGAGGGATTCAAAGGTACGACAATGCTTCATCAAGTCGGACACGGAGTTCAAGCAGTCTTTCCCAATTAAGAAATTGTACACGTCTTCGGCTATACTCTTGAGAACGTGTCCAACCTAGTCTTCTTCAGAAATCCTCCCATTCACGATCTTGCACAGCTTCAATATTTCTTCAATGTATGTCGTACATGTTTCTCCTGGAAGCTGTGCCCTCTGAGACAATGTCTGCTCCGCGCGTTTCTTCTTTGCATTCGAATCACCGAAACCCTTCTGCACTTCTTCAACAAAACGTTCCCAAGTAGTGAACATGTCCTCGTGGTTCTCGTACCACATGAGGGCGGTGTCAGTTAACGAGAATACGACATGATTGAGCTGTTCGTTCGAGTCCCAGCCATTCCTTCTGCTCACCCACTTGTAGTTCTTGAGCCACACGTCGATGTCTTCTCCTGAGGTTCCGCCGAAGTTTGGCGGCACTCTGTAGTATGGCGCGGAACCCATCGGAGTTGGCCTTGAAGCGTTGGATGGCTGCTCTTGGGCCATTGTGATCGGCGAAGGTGGAAGTCTGGTGAGGCGGCGCCTGCGACGAAGTCTTGGTAGTGAAGCTTCCGTCTTTGGGTTCGTCCTACCCAGCACCTTCCACCAAATTGTTACACAAGGCAAGGTAAATTAACGGGGTTTTTTAATAGGCCCTGAGTCTGCGATCACCGTATAATGATGATGATCTCCACCGCCATGGCTCGTACCCACTGAGAGGGATTGCAGTGAAGGCAACGTTGTCTTCATTCTCTACCCGCGCTTCCGTTGTTTTTCCTGCTAGTGAAACTTCTTATCATTATCATAATTTAAGTAATACTCGTATTCACTTGATTGAGTGACCAGGACTCGCGAAATTGATCTTGAGCTAATGTATTTATATTTTATTAATACTAACAAAGATAAAGAAAAATGCCACTACTGCAACTGTCGAACAATTATTCACACAATGATAGTTAGCCTGAACTGACATATTTGTTATAGTGATAGGATAAGAGCTCGTATTGCATAAGAATGCTCGAGGCAAGCACACTTCTTCTCTTCTGTGGCACGCCCTGCTTACGCCTTGTTAATCGAATACATCTCCGAACAATCGGTGAGGTTATAATCGCAAGTTAATTTTGTCTTGAAGTTTACAAAGCTGTTAACCTTCGTATACACGGTAGGATGGTGGATTGGTATTCAGCTGCGCACTCTAGCGTAAAGATATATCGATATCTTACAAAAGTGACCTAGCTGTTTTAACAGAAAACATTGCTAAGCGAACAACATTGTTTTTAAGGAATTGCCTAATCGGACGCACTTCATCTAACATCAAATACTTGTTTGTTTGTCCCTTTTATCCTGGCGCAACAGGCACTCGTGGTGCCGAGCTTTTTTTTCTTCTATTATTGCGTTAGTTCAGTTACATTTGTAGCAGTTTTGCTGTCGAGGTGTCCATGTATTTACAGTTGATCATAAACTTTAAAATCGATGGTCGCTCAGCAACTGTATCTGAAGCTGTGAGTCCTACGATCGTGCATTATTACTTCCCTACTTCTTTCGAGGCATCTGCAAAAGCTTATTCCAGTTGATCATGAACGTTGAAATTGACGATCGCTCAGCAACTGTACAAAAAGTTGTAAGTCATACGATCGCTAATTATTACTTCACTAATTCTTTCAAGACATCTGCAAAAGCTTCGGCGTTAATGACACAGCTGACTTAGTCCAGTATATTGTGCTTTAGCTACTTCGACTAAGACTGAATGTCTTACTTTTAATTAAAAGTTATTTATGTGAAATACGATTACACTGTACATTACATGATTATGGCTCTGTTGCTCATAACTTGTGGGTTCGTGACATCATGAACACATTTGTTACACAAAAACGTTTTAAGGTTGTAAGACGTCAGAGAATGCTTTATAGAAAATGCGATATCTCCGGGATTGAGAAGCAAGCAATGCTAGAAGTAATATGATGGGTCTTCACCGGTAAAATATAATAAATAAAGCTGATTCTGTGTCACTCATTTGTCTTACCACAGCCAAGTTGAAAATCCCGCCTACGGGACCCAAGCTTGATGCTTCCTCAATAATCTTGCTTGCGCCCTCTTTTGTCGATACGTCATCAGTGCTGACGAGCACTGTGGCGCCCAGGTCGGTCCAGCGCTTTAGCGCAAGCCTCTGGTACCCCGTACGGATACCACTCCTGGAGATCAGGAGAAGCTTGCGGCATCCACGTGTCACCATCCATTGGGCAAGCTCAAGACCGAAGCCGCCCAGGCCACCGACGATTACGTATGACTTGTGCCGGTAGAAGTGGGGACGCGCCACTGCTTCAAGTGTCAGCGGAGGGGCACGTGCCACTCGCTCGTCCTCCTCCGGTCGCATCTGTAATTACCAAGCATCAACATCGTCTGACCCAAGCAGTGTGCAACGAAAATTGGGGGAGCCTCATGCTTCGTCTTGAAGAGTTGAACCTGATGGCAATACCTTGTCCCTAATACTTACTCGAAACACATAGTGCGTACTTTTTTATTGCGTGACTTTATGTTTTAGTTGTGCAATACTACGACGGAATCTCTAAAGTTGATAGTTGCCTTGTGCAGGTGAAGCTTTCGCACATGGCTGCATTATGTGCAATGAGTAGTGTGCATTAAACCACCAGCCAATACCCACGTGAATTTTTTTTTCGAACTTGATATGCAGTCACCAGATGGTCATAAGGGAACACACGCAGTATCGTGTGTGCTTCTCGTAATGAGGGGAGGGGGGGCGACCTTAAGCTACAAAGTTGTGATAATCTCATGTCCTGACACCCAATGGTAATGTTCACTTGTACCATGCAAATTTTATGGCAATATTATGTCTTGTACTGGAACGCTCGTATACTAGACGCGTTTGTTTTCAAAGCATGAACGTTATTTTTGCAGCATTTAGAAGTATGGAAGGTTAAACTAGGTATATTCTCAAGCAGACTCATGACTGTGTATTAGAACGCCTCTTTTACACGCAGATGGCCAGCGTTCAATTCTCACTCGGACCCGGAAATTATTATAATAATTCTGTTTTCATATTTCTCGCCTTTACAGTCACACATGAGTCTCTGGTTTTTCACTCAAAAACAGCGACGCCAACGCCAAAAAAGATGCTGAAGCCGGAAGTTCATTGATACGAGCCTTTAAAACTATCCCGTTAAGATTTAGCCCAACGAAACGTTGAGATTCGGTGAGGTAAAAAATTGGCCCCCTTATCTGGATGTTACACTGTAAATGTAGTTGAAAGACGATAGTCTTGCGTCTGGAGAGAGTGAAAAAAAACTTTATTTGATGTTCTGCGCAAGAAAATCAGTAAATGGTATTCTGGAGGCGCTGGGTCAGAGTGCCTCGAGTGTGCAGCGGAGGCAAACGAGCGCATTGAGTCACGTCACGTGTGAAAAATAAGTACTATTTGGCAGTTATCTAGGAAAACGAAGCATGCCGCGTGCGCGCTCGTCTTGGATGCGATGAGGTGTAGACCGCAAAGCGATGGGTAGGTGCCGCCACCGTGTCGTCTTAGCAGAGCGTTGAAACACTTGCCTTTTTGTGCAAGTGTTGCAATATCAGTGCAGCGTGATAAACGCGTTGGTCCTTATAATTACTTATGTATGCTTTTTCTAGTATAAAGGCACACATACAGAATGTTGGAATGTTGTTAAGATGCCTCAGATATGCGCAATTATTGCTTTTCAAAGGACACTTGCACAAGTATGAATGCTAAAACTTGAGCAATATTGGTGGGTGCTGCGGATGGCGTCCGCCGTTTGAGGTATCAACTGTTGATAATTGGGGTATTGTTACGGCGCAATATCGTAAAAATGTACAGACAGACAGACAGACAGACTGACCAAAATTTTTGCGTCGAAGGTCTTCAATGGAAGACTAGTTGTCTTTAAAAAATGGTCAATCTCTGTTTTGGTTGCTTAAGCAGAAATGTTATCTTGACAGAAGCGGGTACAATTGACATCATGTATGAACTGTGCTTGTATTCGTTTAAACAACACATCCGAAATGACACCAATATTGTTCTCCAGCGTATGTTCGTAACGTTCCATTGAAGTATGTGTAGACGGATCTTTTTTTACTCTGCCGCCAAACATCTGCTGGCGTTTTAGTCGGATATGCATAGCAGCGGGCGTTGGCGCGATAGCGTTAAAAAACGGTTTTGCGTAACTTACAGCATCGTGTCGGCGGCTTTTGTTACGAGTGGGAAGTCGGGGTTCACCGAACAACTTTCGAAATTTCACTGTGTTGCCTCTGTGTCTGTTACAGGGTTAATCTCGAGAGTTCAATAAAGTATATATAAATCATTGGCTACGTTAGTGTCGAAATCTCAATCGGTGCTTGCCGACCATGTTTTATCTTCGTTTTCTTTAGGACAGTGGTCAGCAGCAAAATTAGGGTCCGCATTTTGTGAGTGGAACGTTTTTCTTGTGCACATTATATCCATTTTATTAAACAAGCAGGGCTCAAAGAAATTTACAGAAGAATTCCTAGAGTTTTCAAAAACTGAGGACTTGCGCTATTCTAGCGAAGGTGAAAATTGCAAGTTAAGCAAATGATAAAACAATAAATACTGTATTTTGATCGAGATTGGACCTGAATATTTCTGTGGGGCACTCGGGTGCTCAAACACCAAACCGCGAAAGTGTATGAAACTGTTTTGTTAAACAGATGATTTACAGTCATCATGTAGTACTAGTTGCTCCGTCCACAGCTGAACTTTTGTACATCACAAGGGGTTTGGCACTAGGCGTCACATAATAGTAATAGCGCAGCCTCAGGTTGCCTTAAATTTGATTTATATACGAAGTGTTCAGGGATCTTTGGGCACAGTAATAAGCAACAGCACCAAGAAAGCGCACAGCTGTGTGTAGTGTCTCGAAGACACCTAATTTATGCGTCCCTAATTTGAAAAACATTCAAGTATGACCTAGTAGACACTTAATAACTACCATTGTTCTAGGCTTGATTTTTAAAAAAAGATTATTATATAAAGTCACGTGCTTGGGCTTTTTTTCCTCGGAAGAACGTTGCGGCGCCCGCTGAAAAGCGAGAAGCTGCATGGTATGAACTTCGGCACTGCTGGTGGATGGCGTTGCATATCAAACAATAGGAGCTAGGCAAAAGATGCGTCACAGTAGACGGAACATGTATGCAATGCGGTGCGGCAGCTGTTTATTTTGCCTTCCCACGGCTTTTAGTGTCTAACGCATTAACTTCTATGGTCTTACCAGACTTCTTCTGCTGGCATTGCAGTAAAAGCGTAATCTGTTACTCGCATACCTAAATAGCGGGTTACAGAGACATTTTTTCTGCCGCCACCGGTCATGCTAACCCTGAAATATTTATTATAAGAAATCAACTCTTCATGCAAGTCAACTTTTCTATCTCAAAGCGATGGTGGTGCTTCGCATCGCTCCAGGAAAAGCAGCCCCTGAGACTGTTGAGAAAAGGACGAGCCGCCTTGCCCAAAGACGAAGCCCACCCGTTGATCTCTTCTTTATTTCGAATACTGCTGGTAACTCCCTAAAGATGATAGTGACTATCTTCGTCGTTCACACAATATTTAACATCCTCCGCGCCCCCATAATGACGCATGACGAAGAACACTAAACACACGCCCAGGTCCTTAGTACACAGTAATAGTGAGTAGTTATTCGAGTTCCAAGTCAGTCCTTATGGGACAATCCAAGTTTTCTCCTGTGCCAGCTCTTCCAATGGTGTTTCCGATGCTTGTTCTCTATGCGTGCTTTTGAACGTGTTCCCCATGGTGGACTTTCGATGAACACTTTAAGTTCACATGAACAACGATGATGCAGTCTCTTCCACGATGTTTTACTGTAGCTCGCTTTGGACAGTTTTCTTGATTTTCACGTCTTGCCTTTGTTTACCGCAGAAGCGCCAGCCGTCTCTTTCTGTTTTGGTCAGCTCTGTCTTATACGTGGCTGTGATGCTATTTCGGCATTCTTTGCTGAAATAAAATGGGTCCTCCGTATTGCCCTCAACCTTGACGTTTGTAGCTTCCTAAAAGAGGAGAACCTAAATGTAGTACAAGGGACTTGCATCTGTGTTCTCGCGGTATTCTTTCTGTTTCCACTCGCTTTAGGAAGTGGTCTTGTCTTGCTTCTGCCACGCTCTTCTAAGCATATTGGTGGTGATATTATTTGGTCTGGAGTTGTCGTCTTTGGCGTGCATTCAACTTCAAGACCCGGCGGTTTACCTTTGTGATCTTCAAAGGCTTCCCAGTTTCCTATCAAAGAAATGTCTTCCACCATGGTCAGCTGAGTTGTTGTAGATAGTCTGTCATTACCTTCGTGGGTACAGTCCGTTGGCGTGAATTCTAAAGTCATGAAAGGTGTCTTCAGACTTGGAGGTTGTTTTTCGGTGTTAAGTTCTTGGTTTGCTTTTTCTGTCATGGGAACCCTGGTTTGTATGCTGCTAATATATTCCCCTTTTGTCCTTAGGCTGGCTCATCTAGCTTCTGCGCGACAAGATTGCTATTCGGCACGTAATGGCTAGATGGTGGTGACGGAGACGAAGAGAGTATTTTACTTTTTGCTTCTGCTTTCATCCGTTGTTTTATCGCTGCCACGTGACTTTCCCGAGCCTTTTGTGCATTTTCAATCTTAGACTGCTCTCACCCTTGCTATAGAATAAACTGGCGTTCACAAACTTCGGCTTCTTCCATTTCTGCTTTCAAATGGTCGATGTCAACTGTGTTTGCACTCTCCTCATCGATTGCTCCGGGAAGCTCGTACTGTTCGGTAAAAATTCGGTGAAACTTCTTCAACTCACATATTGATGGGTGGTTCGTATGCCAATGCTGTCCGATATCTGCGGTCACCTGCACGACGGCCTTGCGTGTTTGATTCCGCCTTTCGTAGAGGGCCTCTATGATCCGGTCTAGTGTCGAAAACATGAGAAATCACTGGCCGGCCGTGTCACGAGGCCAAGTCAGAGTCAACTCGGCATCCATCGCAGACGGTTCGCACAACGAATATTCGTAAGTTGTCGGGCTGTCATTCTTCGTGATCTTGCGAATATCGAGCCGTCGTCGTGATGGGTGAGTCAGGACGGAGCCGAAGTAGACGTGAGGGCTCCCGTCTGGCGAGCCTCCAGACAATGCCTGCACTCACGTTGATGCACCTTCAAGATGTACGTAGTCGACCTCAATGGACTGTCTTGCCTTGCGTTTATCGGGTCGTCGTCGTGAAGGGCGAGACAGGACGGAACCGAAGTAAACGTCAGGGCTCTCGTCTCGCGCACCTCCAGACGATGCCTGCACTCACGGGGCTGCACTGTCCATAAGCACGTCGTTGACCTATGGACTGTTTTCACTTGTGAACATCGGGCCGTCGTTGTGAAGAGTGAGTCGGGACGGAGCCGAAGTACACGTGAGGGCTCCCATCTCGCGAGCCTCCAGACGATGCCTGCACTCACGTTGATGCACCTTAGAGGTGTACGTAGTCGACTTCCATGGACTATCTTGCCTTGCGTTTATCGGGCCGTCGTCGTGAAGGGTGAGTCAGGACGGAGCCGAAGTAGACGTGAGGGCTGCCGTCTCGCAAGTCTCCAAACGATGCCTGTACTCACGTCAGTCTCAGTCTCAGTTGCAACCGGAGTCGCGCTCCCGGGTCTCGGCGGTGGTTAGGCCTCGCACATCGGCTTTACCCATGGCGGCTTCACAAAACTCTTCGAGGCTACGACGGTGGTGGAAATTCATGAAGTCCGCTCCGTCTCACCTCCGAAGGTCCTTCCTCCCGGGTTTCACAGCACCAATATGTAGAGAAAAAAACGAACCACCATGCCTATGGCGAAGCCCACCCGATTGACCTCTTCTTTATTTCGAGAACTGCTGGTAACTCCCTAATAATGATGATGACTATCTTCGTCGTTCACACAATATTTAACAGAGACTTCCCTCCTTATTGAGCGAAGAGTCGCGGGGACAGACTTGCGAACGTAGTGTTGTCAATGGGTGCTGATATAGCAGAGGCCAGTACACACGAACTGCACACCGACTACGCGGCCTAAAGCCCACCACCCGTTATAAAAGACCCATCCATGATTCTTCACCAGCCATTCATCATGTACTCACACGGTTCCTTAGGTATCTCCCTTATACGGCTTGAAGGTGAAGGGTATGTCGCCATTAATTACAAGCCTTTACTGATGCTATGTTAGCCGATGCGAGCGTTACACCTGCCAGAACAATGCACTGGTTCCACAAAATTTTGCGCTGAAATTCACCCATAATATTTGAAGAGCAATTAGGACTAATTGGTGGTTTATGCAACTTATGCAATCACCAATATCTGTTGAGTAAGTTTACCACCACACTACTTGTCACGTACAGAGCTACGTAGCAACGTACTGAACTTGTGTAACTTTACAGCTGGTGGCACGCCAAGTTAAAAGTGAAACATCTGGTAAAAATAAACCTTGTGACATCTCCTACACAACTATGTCAAAATTCGATATAACCAGTAATTGTCACGATTGACAAGCATCTCGTTCCTGAAAGGTTCACTTGGGGAGTGATGTCCGTTGCCAAAGCTGCGGCTCAGATGCGTAGTCTAGAAATTAGATTCCCTAACGTGGCTTGCCCGACTCAAATCGTGCGTAATACGTTTACTTGGTTCATCCTTTCAATGGCCTCAGCTACAGTTCGTCCGATCGTCATTATTCGCAGCATCAAGCACCTTACTTTTTATGAGTGTTATGCGACGAGAGAAGCCAGTTCGTTCATGTTGTCTTGGTGATGCGGCTTATGGTGAGGAGAACCTACGAAGCACAAACTACAATAAACTGTGTCCTGTGTTCTTGGTGGTCTGTCCTCCGTAGCATACCCCTTCCGTAAGCGCGTTGCCGAGCCTACAGGCGTGTAGTAGTTTCACATGACTTGACACAATACCTTTTAATTGTGTCGAAGATTTTTCTCTGCCAAATAGGCGTGGTTAGTTGCGCCACAAGCAATATTCGTTGTTGGCCTGACGATGGCTGGACTATATATTATTGAGTTATCAGCTGGTGAACCCTGTCGGTCGCAGGCTACTCCCCCACTACAAACTACTTCAAGATTCGGCAAGAACGCCAGTATAGCTCAAGCTTTGTTCTTTCCGGCCTAGGTGTTGTCGGTGGTTTCATTGCCTTCGCAGTAGTTTACAGGCTGCTAGGATTCATTATATTCAGTGCCTTTACACGGGCATATAGCCAATTTGTATGAAAACCCAATATACCTCGTGTCAAGGTTGGTGATTTGCAACTTCCTGTTTATTTGATTGATTGGTTGCTTGATAGGTGGGGTTTAACGTCCCGAAGCCACTATATGATTATGAGAAATGCCATTAACCTGCGGTTACTTAACGTGCACCCAAACTTGAGTACACGAGCCTACAGCATTTTCGCCTCCACCAAAAATGCAGCCGGGATTCGATCCCGCAACCTGCGGGTCAGCAGCCGAGTGTCTTAGCCACAAGACCAGCACCGTGGGGCAACGTACTGTTAAGCTCATATTCAATCTATAAGTATTTTCGTAACTGCGAACACATTACACGAATACATTGTATGCAATATAGTGTAAGTAAATGCTCTGAGGAGTGCAACCAGCTCTTACAAATCCACTCTGTTTTCCCTTGGACGACACGGTACGTTACAAGCAGGCTTTGACTTTGTGACACCTGCGCCTTTATTTAAAATGATATCAAACAGCAACAAGACCCACTTGCGTCGGGTAAGTCTTGGCTATGTCACTTTAATTTACGTCATCTAGGAGACCAATTTCAGCCCCCCAAAGCCTGCTATAGTTGTTCATCACTTACCTGGACCACGACCTTGCCTATGTGCTTTCCAGAGGCTATAAAACGAAACGCTTCTTCGGTCTCTCCTCGGGTGAACTTGAAGGCATTGAGAGGCTGAACCACACCAGACCTAATTCCTTCGGCGACAAGCGCATTGAGGCTGCGCTTGTGCGCTAATGCAATGGGGTCATCTTTCCACAGGCTGTCCAACATGATTCCGTGGAAGTTCACGTTCTGCAGAAATTCTGACATGCCCAGATTCATGTTCTCAAACAGGTCGAACTTGCCGATCTCTACGAAGCGACCATGTGTGGCCAAGCAGCGTACGCTGGCTTGCAACTTCTCGTTGGACAAGGAGTTTAGCACCAGGTGCACCCCTGTGACAAAGAAAACGGTTGAGATATTTAAGGTAACGATCATATTTGGTATAGTTTTGCACCATCAAATTCCAAAAGCTCGAACCTGGATTATTTTGAGAGACATACTTTATAAAAATAGGAGCGATGATCAATTGCTCGTAAAAGAGTACCAATAAGCAAGGGTTCATATAAGCTCATAAAAAGCGGAACTAACACTGTGTTGAGATCGAAATTTAAGGCCTTTTGTGTTTAGAAGTACATAGACAGGATGACATTACAACGCACCAAAACGTTAAAGATAATAGAGAGAAAACGCTGATAGACATTTTTCAAATCGAGCTGTGTGTTTTGATAACCTCCAGCCACAAAATACGTTTCATATTGCGGGTACATTGTGAGTCGATGCTTTATGCTTTTCAAACTTGATGCAAAATCACTGAACAAACCTTCGTTGGCCGCGTTCGTGCGATATGCAGAAATTAAACGGCAATCACCTTGTAAGAAAACTGCGCAGACTTGACTTAAAATGAAATTAGTTCAATTCAAAGTCTTGAAACGTCATGTTGTAACGTTGTTGTGAATGGGAAAGACGAATTGGTCTTACCGCTTAACATTGACTTTCACGTTGAACACACTAGTACCCTGTTAGAGAAACCCCTCAACATGTAAACTACCAACATTTGCCGTTTTTAGTAAAACGCAGGCAGCATGCTCATGAATCGTCGATGCACTCATCAGTCGCTAAAATGTATTGTTATTAATACACTTAGAAGGTTCAGGGAAAAACTTTCAGAAGTTCCCAGACCACTATATCATCTACTCCTAAGGAGGCGTGGCCTGGGATCGTTTGACCAGGGCTGACGTTCCAGCTTGTTATCGCATGTGCTCTAGTATGTACTGGAAAGGTTGAACGTACATTATGTATTACCATAGAACGATCGGAAGGTGAACACAAGAGTTTCAGCCGTAATACACAACACACTTGCGTCGTAAACGCTTTTTTGTCAAAGTATTTTATAGCAGTCCTAAGTATTTTTAAAACAATCGTGAATACGTCTCAAGTTATATTCCAATTTTGTTAAAAGAAATAATAACAGTGATGGGTCATCTTGTTTTTATAGGAGGAGACGTACCAATGCTATTTGAAGGTGAACTATCAGTTTTGGTCAATCTGCTTCATGAAAATCAGGTGTGTCTATCCAGAGGGCGAAATCTAAAATGCTGAGCTGGAGTGAAAGACGTCTGAACGTAAGGTTGGCCAGTAGCAAAAGAATACGCTGAAAAAATGTCTCATGTCTTTAACTCGATGGAAATATTATCAAATGTTTCTTGTGTGAGCGAATATCCTCTATAAGGTTGTAGTGAATCTTTTTCAAAATGAAACTATAAAGGCGTCTTCAGCTGTTGCAGCCAGTTGCTGTGGCTTCTGGGGACAAATACTCGATGCTGCACTTCCCTGTAATTCACAATTTTCTTAAATAATGACGACTGATGGCTAACTGCGGTGGTGCAGTAATGTCGCACTCTGTCAAGTGTCATCACCAAGTCTACAATTACTATTTGTACTCGCATGATGTTTCGATGATTTCGTTCACCACTGATATGATCATAACATAAGGTTATTTCACAATGAACACTGTTTTCAATTTCTCTAAATAAGCCATTACTTCAATGAAGTTTATAGAATCAGTATGCAATGAATACAAGTGGAAGACACACTGTAATATAGTGTTGGTGAATGAGAAAGCTTCAAACAACAAACTCGGGTCCTTTGAGAATCTTTAGGATAGTCATTGATGGCATATATTTTCTGATGAGAAAGTCGATTGTTCGGGTGGAACAGCTAATATATATGGACACGTAAGCAGTCCTTATTTATTTGTTTCGTCAGAGCACTTTCAGGAACCATGTAGTCCGATTCCAACTTCAATGTCGATTAACTCACCGTGGCCTTCAGTTTCATTCATGACGTTTTCTTCGAAGGACAGGTCACGAGAACTAGCAATGTTTCTGTCTTTTAACGCTGGAAACCGCCGCTTGAGAAACTCTCTCTTGTCATTGGTTCCTGAAAAAAAGGGAAGCAACAGCTACAGCATTCTTGAACTAGGTAGGTACCTTGAGTAGAGCAAGAAAAGTAACAGCGCGAAAGGAACATGGGCGACGAAAATGCAAGACCACTGGAAAAGCGCACTGCCAACTGTTTGTTCTTTACGTAAAAACCGGCCTCTTATATACTCTTAGAAAAAACATGTGCACTTCAAACACTTGCTGAGAACAATTACATTCATTATTTCTATATGTGTTGCCCCAGCGTGGTGGTCTAGTGGCTGAGGTACCCGGCTGCAGACTCGCAGGTCACGGGATCGAATCCCAGCAGGGGCGGCTGCATTTTCATTGGAGGCGGCAACGCTGTAGGCTCGTGTGCTCAGATGTGGGTGCACGTTAAAACCACCGCACGTGGTCGAAATTTCCGGAGCCCTCCACTGCGGCGTCTCTCATAATCATAAAGTGGTGTGGGACGTTAAACCCAACATATCAATCGATCAAATAAAATCAAATAGGCTTGCTGTAAACGTTGCCACACCCACCCCTTTTATATTTTCATGTTGATTGTTATGTATGGTTTAACGTCCCAAAACCACCATATGATTATGAAAGACGCCGAAGTGTAGGGCTCCGGAAATTTTGACCACCTGGGGTTCTTTAACGTGCACCCAAATCTGAGCACATGGGCCTACAACATTTCCGCCTTCATCGGAAATGCAGCCGCCGCCGCCGGGATTTGAACCCGCGACCTGCGGGTCAGCAGCCGAGCACGTTAGCCACTAGACCACCGCGGCGGGGCTATATTTTCATGTTACTACACCTTGAAATAATGCTGCTGCATTACGCGGTGCACGCCCGAATGAATGGAAGTTACCTAGATGATAATCTTGAAACCTCCCGAGGTGGATTGTTGCTGAGCGCAAACATTACAAGCAATTTCGTAACAGACGTGACCACTAGCGATAACGCTCGTATATTCGATGATACAGTTATGAAAACCACCACGCTTGACTTCTCGTCAGTTTTGGACGGCCGACGCGGTGCTTGTTGCTCTCGTAGTGAATTGCGCCTTTACTTTGCCTTACCTAGCACTATATAGCCACAGGCTCGGACAAATAAAGTTTCATGTTGCCTGTTCCCTTCGTCCATGCCACAACCACATGAAAAATTGAGCCAACTATACCTTATCAAGTTGTTACCTTGAATAGGTCATATCGCTATAGAGAGATCCATAATAAAGTCGCAAGTGTGCTGTTAAGTACTTGAGAGGATGCATAGCACTGAATTAAAAACTTATTTCTGACCAATCATTTTAATCTCTTTCGTTTCATGTTATGTTCAGTATTCTTTACAAGAGTTAATGCTGTGCAATTATTACGTTGCACGTAATGTGCCCTTCCAGTTACCGCATTCGTGAAACGTTTGGGGCAAAAATAAACATTTTTGATAGTATGGCATGCTATCTTGTGTTGCCATCGTTTCCTTTACTCCCACTTCGCGCAACAAGCGTTGGTTATGCATCAACGCCTTCCATGCATGACCCTGTTGTAAGCAAAACAAAATAACATATTTCTTCTGAAATATACACTTTGCGATATATTCGGCGTGAAGAAACTAGAAAAAAGTGCTTAAAATGGCGGAACTTTTGTTGTTCCTAAAGCGGTTAAGAGACAGCATAATTGACAATTACCGGAAATGTCTTCATTTGTATTCCCCGAAATGTAGCCGGAAGAGTTTTGCATAAAACGGGTAACATTCATGTCATCGCGCTGCATTTCATTGTGGGAGAATGAGGCTTAGTTGATTTTTAGTTGGCGGACACACTTTTACGTTCTCTTCTTAAAAAAACAAGTTGTAGAGGGCTTTCGAAAACGTTTAATTTCTATTTGATTGTTCACCTCACCTACTGTGGTGAAGATTTCACAGCCCATCGAAAGGGCAATAGAGATGGCAGCCTGTCCGACGGCTCCACTGCCACTGTGAATGAGCACCGATTCACCCGGTTGCATACCAGCCCGTAGAATCAGTGCATAGTAGGCGGTCGAATATGCCATGGGCACAGTGGCAGCCTCTTCCATGCTCCAGGATTCGGGAATGTCCCACGTAAGCGCCGGCTCAACAGTGAGTACACTCGCTATCGACTGGCCCTTGACGATTCCCATGACACGCTTTCCGTTCCAGTCACGGCCTGAATACTCCATACCAAGAAAGGCTTCTCCAATGACGTTGTCACCTGATTGAATGAACCGGGTATAAGAAACCTCGCGTTACTTCGTTTGTAATAATGGTCATACTGTACAAGTAACCATTTTGTCTTTGAGAAAATAGGCCAGCAATGAACACACAGCTGTCGGGTCTTAGTCGTAGTCTACGCTTTACCATGTGTTTCTTTCAAAGCCCCACTTCCCTCAATACTAATAAGCAATGGCTAGTCCATATCCTCATTGAACGCCACCTTGACAGTAAGTGTGGTTTGGAATGTAGCAACGACATGTTTTTAAACAGTGAATAATGTTAAAGGAAGGCGCAGGAGCCTGCCACCATATGCAGGAAAGCATTGTTCGATACTGCATTTAGTCCAAAGACCAAACCCCTCGTTACGACACTAGTACACCAATACAGCCAGCTGGAACTAAGCCCAAGGACGGAATTCTCGATTGCGTCTACTATTACTAGCATGGCGGCTCCTACAACTTCCGTGCATGTCTCTCCTGTGGAGCACCACCACCAGTCTCACGGTCCGCAAAGATAGTCGTAGTAATAAATAGATAAAGAAAGAAGCAGCGGTTGGGTATTTTGTAGCAAACGATGTCTATGGCTAGAAAAACATAAGACCGTTTGGCATCAGTATCACGGACGGTCTTCATTGGCTGCGCTTTTAGTTACGTCATTCTCAGTGTCGCTTCAATAGCTGCGGTATCAGTGACGTCATTCATCCCGAGCACGTGCGCATCAGTTGCTACTGAGAGCCTCCATATGGGTAAGCTACATACAACTTTATAGGAGCGCCGATAGTGGAAACGTGAAAGAGCTCGCATTTTCCGGGCCGATGGTGCAATCTATGCACAAAAACAGGCTCCAAAGGCAGAGTGCTGCGTAGCGATGATCCGGCAGCCTTTCAAGCGGTGCTAAATAAATTGCGAACGGTAAGGCAAACGGCGGTGGGGAATGAATCCTGCAAACCACGCCACCGAGCTAGCTCGCGATGCCATACGCTTGCAACAACGACCTGCTGTGCAAGCGCCGTTGCGGCCACAACAGCGCCAACGTAACGACTGCTGGAGCGCGTTCGCCGGGGCACACGCCCGCTCGCGGCGGGAGTTTCTACAGCGGCCCTTCCGTTCCGGCTGTGACATCTGCGACCGCCTCTGGTTCGAGAACAACCACTTCGATTAACGAATTGCGAGACGCTTTTAACCGATTATTACGCTCCTCAATGACCGTGATCATGCTAGGCACAATGTGTGGCGTTTGAAATGAACATTGCGGTAAACCCAAAGCCAAACGTGTGCCTAACCTCATTCAAAAGGTGGAAAATGTAATCAATAGTGTGGAACGGCTTCAGGGCTGCGTCGGGTCAAACCTACTGCTAAAAACGTTGTCAGCTTTCACTGGTTTGTTATTTGTACGAAGTGCTTGTGACTTGGTTTTTATTATTTATTATGCAGGGCCAAGGCGTGTTTTCTCGCTTCTGCCTTCTAAAAAAAGAGCACATACATGCCTACACTGTCCTCTTTGCCTTCCTCATAGCACGCACGTGGCAATATTGCTTAAACATACTACTAACTGCAGAAGTGCGAAAGGTGGGCTAGTTTTATCTGGCAAAATATGAGAAGGCAGGCTGCGTTAGAGCAAGCTATCCCGAACATCATCATAGTAAAGTACTAGATACACACAAGAAATTAAAAAAATAGTTAGGAATAAAAGAAGAAATAAAGGCCCCGTATCTGCATGTTAATCTGCAAATTTCGTCGAAAGACGATGTCTTACATGTGAGGAGAGTAAACAAAACATTTATTTGATGTTCTGCGCAAGAAAATCGGTGAATGGTATTCTGGAGACGCTGCGTTAGAGTGCCTCGAGCGTGCAGCGGAGGTGAACAAGTGCATCAAGTGTGGATGCTTGAGCTAGTTGGTATCACATGACGATAGTTGATGATTGATATGTGGGGTTTAACGTCCCAAAACCACTATATGATTATGAGAGACGCCGTAGTGGAGGGCTCCGGAAATTTAGACCACCTGGGGTTCTTTAACGTGCACCCAAATCTGAGCACACGGGCCTACAACATTTCCGCCTCCATCGGAAATGCAGCCGCCGCAGCCGGGATTCGAACCCGCGCCCTGCGGGTCAGCAGCCGAGTACCTAAGCCACTAGACCACCGCGGCGGGGCCACATGACGATAGTTATAGCGCGAGAACAGAACGACGACAAAAAAAACTGCGTGTCCTTTTTGTCTCTGTGTCGTCGTTCCGTTCTCGCACTATATCTATCGAGTGCATCAAGTCACGTCACACGTGAGACATGAGAGCTATCTGGCAGTTCTCTTGGAAAACGAAGCATGTGGCTCTGAGACGTGTGTGCGCGCCCATCTCTGAGGTGATAAGGTGTAGAACGCAAGGCGACGGGTAGGTGCCACCACCGTCTCGGGGAGACGCGGGCGCTTCGCGAAGTGATCGGACGTGACGCTCATCGGCTCCGTCGATTTTCGGCTGGAACCGTCTCTTATTCAATGTGGCTGCTCTAAAGCTTGTGCGACTGCATCTGCAAAGTCAGCAAGATTCTGGAGACACCGATCTTACCCAGGTACGCCCAATTTTCGGCCACTTCGAGCAACTTTGCATCACAACGTAGCGAACGAGCTAAGCCTCACGGCTGCGGCTCCGCCGCTGCTGGATGCGGAGACGCCGCTCGGTCAACTCCTCAACATGGCGCTGCCTGAACAACGTGGATACGACCCTACGACTCTTTCGTGGTCATATATCCCGACAAATCCATCAGACGACGGCCCATCCACCATTTCGGCGGAGCAAGCTGACATTTTTCAACTCGTCGAGGGTCGGCGTCGCCACCGAAGAGAACGCGGAAGGAGCGTCTGCACTGAAAACTCCTCTCAACAATACAACCACTGGAGACGCTCGCGCTCCATCTCCTAAAGCTCCACAAAAGACTTCACCAGTCTCCAAGTGGACGCCGAAACCAACGGTCAGGATGAATCCTGGCGACTACGTGATCGTGCTCAAGCCACGCATCACAGTAGCCCTCAAGGCAGCGTTTCAACAAGGTGAGCTCGGCGCTGCCATTTCCCAACTCATCGGAAGGCAGCACATGAATGACATCACAATTTCTCCCAATTGGGAGCAAAACATCATCATATGTGGCACGCAGAATAACGATGTGGTTCAGAAACTGCTGTCGGACTTTCAAATCAACACCAGCAAAGGACCGCTGCCGCTTCGCGGTCACCTCAAGCTCACCGGTGATGTGTGTCGCGGCGTGATTTCTGTGCACAACCTCGAAACCAGTGCGTCCCTGAAACATAGTGTGCAGTGGCGTGGCGGTGAACTAGTCTATGCGCGCAAGCTGGGGAACTCCAACGTAGCTGTGTTGTCTTTCGCGGGAAGGAACGTTCCGCGTTTCGTCCTACTATAACGCAGAACTGACTCCCGTCAGGGAGTACAAGAAGACAGTGCCAGCGTGCTACCGCTGTGGTGCACTGGGGCACCGGGCGGATATCTGTCCCAACCCGGTCACCGAAAGATGCAGCCTTTGTGGCCGAAACGTGGGCGCTGGTCCTGAGGGGATGGCCCCCCACGAATGCAACCAACGTGCATAGTTTGCGGGGGTCCGCACCTCACCAGCTCCCGCGAATGCACTGAAAAATTCATCAGGCTTCAGCAACCAGGGTCCAGGACATCGGGGGCCCCAACAAAACCAAAGCGCCGGTCAACTGGCAAAGCGCCAATTCCTGGCAAAGCAGCAATGGCAACGCTACCACCTGGCGCGGCGGAATCTCCAGCTTTCGGCGCTCCATCTGGCAACGCTGCACGCAACCAACCCAAGGTAGGCAGTTGGGTGGAGGTCGCCTCCTCTCCCTCCTCTCTCTCCTCTCCACCTTCTTCTGCCACAAGCACTACCGAAACACAAAAACTCAGGCATGAGCTCACCCTTTTGCGATCTCAGAATGAAAAACTAGCCAGCGAACTTGACTCGCTCAGATCCAATCTCACTACTCAGCCCTCGTTGAGCGACGAAGAGGAAAACATAACAGACAGGGAGATTCCTACTACTGTAGAGAGTCGCGTCGCGGCCCTGGAGACCCAAGTGAATGCAATAGAAACACAATTGGCCGACCTCCCCAAAATTATCCACGACACCATCGCGCGTCATATGGAGACTGTCATCGCACAGGTGACACAAACAGTAACTCACATCATCCAAAAGTGGATACAAGACAATCCACGCGTCCTTAAGCGCGTAGGGCCCATTAGGGACGTTAATCGCACCTCAAAATTAACAGAGTGACTCCAGATGAGTCTGACTTTTCTGAAGACTCCAGCACGTCAGCACAGGGTGCTAGTGAACTGAGTAATCTTAACAACACAACCCCACCCTCCATCTCCGAACATGGCCTCCAACCCTAGGTCGCGAGCCAGAGCAACTCAGCCGTTGTTACTAACACAGTAGAACTGCAGAGGTCTCAAGAACCACAAGAAGCGGGCTCATTTCCGCCTCTATCTTGAGACCTTTGAGTTCCTCGTTGCCGTGGTTGCCCTTCAGGAACCCGGCACGAACGTCAAACTCATAAACTACACTACATTTCAACACAACCCGGAGAGATTTATACTTGTTCACAAGCAATATACCGCCCAGGAAGTCACACTCCCCACAACACCGCCTTTCCCATACACGATGGTGTCGGTGCTGCCTATAAGGCGATCTGACCCACCTGTTCATATTTTAAACATTTACTGTCCCCCAAAGCTTAAGAACGTCACGTTCAGCGCAACTTTCACACAAGCTATGCAGGTGGCAGGAAGGGAACCCCTCCTGATCGTCGGCGACTTCAATGCCCCAAGCAGGTTATGGGGTTATCCACGAGAGGACACGCGTGGAAGGAATCTTGCGGAACTTTTTTCTACACTTGGACTCACCCTCCACACTGATCCCGCCAGCCCAACACGTGTAGGCAACTCTGTTCAACGAGATACTTGCCCGGACCTCACAATTACA